TCAACCTTAAATACAAATTTAGGATACAATTTTAGGGAGCTCCCTCTGGTATTTTAATTGTCATGTAATATATTCACAATCGAAAGACAAAATGCTTTGCAGCAATTACAGAACTATATTAAGAAATTAATGCAAAAAAAAACAAATTTTATCTATTCCCTGTCACAGGACCAAGTTGTAGAACAAATGATGCCAACAGATGCCTTGGGTAAAACGTTCGTTGTCGGCCCTAACCCGTTCAGTGATTTGAATTCTATCGTCAAAATTGTCGTCACGACCTCCCACACAAGCTGGACCTACTACACAAAAGACCTTACGCTACTCACCCAGAGCGGAGTGTCTGTAGAATATGAACACACGTCGGGGGAAGTCACCAATTTTAATTCAAGCGATCCAATCATCGTTGGCTTATTGTCCACGGGAGTTTACGGTGAGAATAATTTATCCTTTGTCTTTTTGAAATTAAATAATCAAAAGCTGAATAAAAAAACGTTGTCTTGAAGTTTTGATATCTTGGGACGGTGTTGTCAATTGGTAGATCATGCGACTCTCTCCCGAAAGTCCTTGAGTTCACCCAGCTCTGGTGGGTACCTGACTCACTTTAGGGAAAGTTAAAGCGGCTGGGTAGAGCGCTCACCACACTATCCCTCATATGGCTAGGTCACAGAAATAGTGTTCTACTTCACCAGTCCCATAGGATTGTCAAGTTACAAAGAGAACTTTACTTACATCTAGACCTTTGATAAATGAATCTTTGAAACATATTGAATGCCGGTTTTAGTTATACACAATGGATTTAATTCATTTCCGTTTTATTTCTATCTAGACTTTGCCCCAGCGTTGGTCCTGATACACCCTGTAGAGAACTGGTCTAGGAAGTACACCCTTGCTTATGTCAAGGATACTTTCGAAAAAGTTACAGCATCGCTGTACACCTTCAATAACTGCACTTCTGATTTTTTGGTGAGTTGGCCACGTTACATGTCGTATAATAGAACTTTAACTATAACACTGAAATAACCACATCCGGCGTATGTATCTCGTAGACGTAGGAGCTAGTAAAATAGTTCGTCAATTCAGGATTGCCACATTAGCTGAACAAACGAAGAACCGCCGCCTGAATGTCAACTACTTCACCACTCCCAGTAGTTCGAACTCTTAGGGCCAGAATTAGAAGTATCATGTAAATATTCACAAGCAAGCTTGAGTCAGTCATTGACACAATGGCAAATAGAAGGACAGACCAAAATAAAGAGAGGAACATGCAGTGTGAAATAAATAAAACTTTATTTAATAAGCAAATTAATATTACTAAACCGTTCAGTTAGCGATAATTTTAAAGGACAAGTTGCTAAATATCACAGTAACAAATTTGTCTGGAGACAATACCTTAAACACTACAATATTAACTTTTTCTCGTTCAATGTTTTTTCTGATGTCTTTGGTCGTATACCAATTATTATAAAAACATACAAATCGTGTTTTAAAAAGTGATATAAATAAAATTATACTTTACAGCAATCTCTCTTTTTTTACTCTCCTAACCAGCTCAACGGGATTACACAGAATTTCTATTGGCAAAATTCAAAGGATTTAAAATTTAAATCAACGAAATTGTATTTGACCTGGATTTCACGCATCATTATAGAGAACAAGGCGTGTTTATTTGGTGGCTTTTTATCTATTCGTTCCGGTAAAACAGGTAGCACAATACCTCTGGGATTTGTCGACACGGTAAGTAGATGTAGTGATGTGTACTTACAATAAAAAATACGGCTTTGTCGAGTGAAAATTGGTATGTGGTTGTCTTAAATTAAAATAATCAATCTCGCTCTAAAGTCCTGTTTGGGAATTCGGTGTTCTAAACCATTAAGTGCATTAAGTGCTGGCGAAACACGGGTTCCTTAAAATTCAATGCGTCTTGTGCTATTCAGACGAACTCAAATAAATACAAATGGTAGCTGCAGTGAGGTTAATGCATTTAGTAATAAAACAGATATTGTTAGTTACCTCACAAGTTAAACACAGTTACAAGTTTTATGGACGTTTCGACCCATGGTTTTCGTCAGCACACAAAAGTGTAGTTACAGTTAAGACAGAAAAGTAACACAATTTTGGACTTAGCTCGACAGTTAAAACACGTGTTGTCTAAATGCGACGATATACAAAAGAAAAGACGCGTGAGAAAGGACGTTTGGACAGGGGGGGGGGAGGTAAGGGTTCCTTTTCGTTTATTACATCTTGTGCTAATTAGATAAACTTGGCTTCTTGTACATGTTTAGGCATCTTGTGAGTTGATTGGGTAGTTTAGGCTCAGTGCTCGTCTATCAAGACAGTAAAAGCTAATCACAAATATATCATTTTTTTTCTTCTTAATTATTATATTAGACATGATTTCCTACCACACTATATTTAGTATTACATGTCAACATGTTTTGCGCCATATAGCCCGATGAATATGATTCTAGTCTGTTGTGTACTTAAGAGCACAATACAAGACAACAGCTGTTTGACTTTGGAAATTTCTCTTTTTGATAGATTGCTGTCCCAAGCAATTGATCTTTATCTGCCCGTGGTTCAATTCGAAAATAAATTATCATGCAGCGGTTTATCGATAAAAATCGAGATTTAATTTATCTCTTGACTGAAACGTGTTGTCTAAAATAATAAATTAGCATTGTGTTTTAAATATTTTGTAAGCATGTTATCTCTTCTGTGACATAGGCAGAGTTTCTTCTAGGAAGAAAGTCTTCCGCCCGTCCCCCACCCCCCGAAACGAGATGGAATTTATATAGTAAACATATTCTTTTTCTAGTGTCTGCCCCCCCCCTCCCCGGAAAATGTAGACCATCCCCAAGAAAATCTCAAGTGCCCCCCCCCCCCCGGAGAAAAAAGTCTGGAAGAAACACTGGACATAGACCGCTGACACGAGCTTTCCAGGCATCTCTGTCCTGGGCTAGTCTCTCCAACTGTCCCCAGGTGTATCCAATCTTCTTGGTGTCAGGCATGTCTTGGCTAGTCTCTCCAACTTTCCCCAGGTGTATCCAGTTTGAATTTTAAAAAAAAATAGAATAATAACCAACCTGTCAAGTATATTCACGCTGTCTATACGAAGGAATATTGGTAGTGGAACGTCAAAGTTGTTGATACTAGTACGGAAAGGTAAAGCCCACTCGCAGCAATCTTAATAATGTGATAAATCTATATTACTAGCCGTTAATACCAGTTACATGTAAATTATCGGTCGAAATATTTTAATGGTATAAATTATGTTTTAGAAGAATATTTATAAAATAGCTATTGGTTAAAACGCAATGTGCTTTACTACAGGTTTAACGATATTAGCGACAAAGATAAGAAATAACTAAATAGCTAAAAGTCCGACACATTAAAAATAACATAGGCTACTAATACCTATTCGAAAAAAAAAAATTCATAAAAAACGTTTTAATAACAAGCTTTTATGTAATGATGCACTAAAAAGTAGAAAATAAATTATAGACTACTATTTAAATAACTATAAAGAAAAGCGTGGGTCACTTTAGTATCTATTGGATACCTTTACTAATGTTAAGGAAGACACCCACGCTTTTCTTTATAGTTATTTAAATAGTAGTCTATAATTTATTTTCTACTTTTTAGTGCATCATTACATAAAAGCTTGTTATTAAAACGTTTTTTATGAATTTTTTTTCAGTACTTTACATGTTTTATTTACAATAGAGTTACATGACTAAAAACCATTGCGCGCCTACTGAACATCACGTTCAGTAGGCGCGCAATGGATTTTGAACGCAGCCATTACGTGATGGCGCAGCTATTGAAGGTGATGACGCGTGTGGTGTGGTTGGCTAGACATGCCTACTAATTCGGTCCAAATTTTAATTAATTCATAAAAAATTAATTAGGCATCCAATTAAGTCAAATTTAGATTCAGATTGCATTGTCTTCATGTCTTGACCCACGTGCCAACTGTGAATCGTATCGGTCAAGTAGAACTGTCCGAATTTTCACTCCTGCGTTTCCGTCTAGACTGACGACTGACGACAGAGGAAGTGAGTTAAATAAAAGCTTGTAAAAATAAAACCAAATTATATACACAATTAGTCAACACAACACCATATTAAATCCATACATAGATTAAAAGACTTAAATGACTCCGTTAAAACCCCGGCTTTTCAATGGTATTTCTGTTGTTTTTAAAAGTAATTTGTCTTAGTTTTGGCCGAGGAAATTGTATAAATTTCGTAAATTACGTCTCGATAAGTAAATCTATAGATCTAAATCAAATTTTAATGAAATAGTTCCTTTCTTCGTATTCTAAAATTGGAAGATGACGCCAGTGGTTTTGTGTACTTTCCGTACTTCAAACATGACGTGACGTCATCGATTTCTGCGTTCTTGTCCCAATTATAAACACTTTTCCGGTTGCATAATTAAAATTGTTTTTCTACTTTTCTACATTTGAATATGCCTTTATTTTTTATTTCTTTAAATATAATTTTGTTTATACATTTAAAACATCTACCATATTATTTTCAATAAAAGTCCGTATCAAGTTCTTCGTATATCGCTGAAGATTATGATGTGATATCCTGCGAAAATATTTTGCAGACAGAGAGAGAGAGAGAGAGAGAGAGAGAAATGCGCACATGGGTTTTTATATATTAGAATTTTTCAGTTGGCGTTTGGTTTGGACGTTAGAATTGTACCTCATTTCTGGTGGCGTTAATCTAGCGGATTCGAATTATTTCAAAATGTTTTAGATAATGAATGTTAAAAAGTAAATTGTAAATATTTTTTTACAGAGGACTACAAACTCAATTGGGCAAATCTCTCAAAATAACGTCACATGCAATTTGGTACAGTCTGAGGTTTATAGCGACCTTTTATCGACTGAAATCGTGGCATCAGCTGTTGATATATCATCGTTTGATATCACGGCATCGCCTGCTGATGTCAGCATATTGTTGACCACGCCCACTCCTGTCACACAGATGATGACCACGCCTACTAATGTTAGCCAACTGATTACCACGCCTACTCCTGACATTCAGTTAATGGTCACGTTTTCTTCTGAAATTCACCTGATGACCACGCCTACTCCAGACAGTCAGTTGTTGACCACGCCTACTCCAGTCAATCAGCTGTTGACCACACCTACTCTAGTCAGTCAGTTGTTGACCACGTCTACTCTAGACAGTCAGCTGTTGACCACGCCTACTCTAGACAGTCAGCTGTTGACCACGCCTACTCCAGTCAGTCACCTGAAGACCACATCTACTCCAGTCAGTCAGCTGTTGACCACGCCTACTCCAGACAGTCAGCTGTTGACCACGCCTACTCTAGTCAGTCACCTGTTGACCACGCCTACTCCAGACAGTCAGCTGTTGACCACGCCTACTCCAGACAGTCAGCTGTTGACCACGCCTACTCTAGTCAGTCAGCTGTTGACCACGCTTACTCCAGACAGTCAGCTGTTGACCACGCCTACTCCAGAGAGTCAGCGAGTGAACAAATCTATTCCTATCAGTCTTATAACAACCGCGCCGACTACTGTAATTGAGATAATGGCGACGCCTACCTCTGTCAGTCAATTTATAACCACGCCTGCTGTCAGTCACCTGGTGACCACACCTACTACGTCCAACACACAACATTCTACCCCAGACACAACACTGGTCGACACAGTCAACTCAATAACAAAACATTGTCCCTGCTCCTGCTCCACCAAACAGGCAACCAAAAACCTAAATGTAAATCAAGACACGAAACAAACTCTCAAACAACAAATAGAAAAACATTTAAAAGTTTCCACATCTGAGCTTACAGCGACCTTACAGAGAAAAAATTGTTTGGAAAATGTGACCCCAACTTCTCAAACTCTTGGACAGGTCATCTGTATCTCATGTCTGTGTCTGGTCTTTAGTCTTGTGGTGTTGGCTGATATTTATAGAGTGTTTTCATTTCTCTATTCTATTGCATACCGTCGTGGTTAACGTATAGAAAAAAAAAAACATATTTAAAAGCAGTATATAATGTAAAATATCAATTTTTCAAAATGCGCGGATTGATCTTCAAATATTTCCACAGTTAAAACTAATATCTACACTGTTTATAACCACTCTATTATATTCGTGTCATTAGTCTGAGTTTAAAATGGAATTGTATTTAGAACTGCAAACAAAAAAAAATTTAATAGACTTGTAACAAAATATTAAAAATATTTATACAATGCATATTTTAAAAAAATATTTATTATTATTTGACATAGTAATAAAATAATAACATAATTAATTGTTTACAAATGAAATTCCTGAGCTTTTCCTGAGTGGAACCCGAAGGGGAGGGGGGAAGAGAGGGCGCTTAAGACTGACCTGGAGGGGCGAGTTCTTGTAGAACTCAAGACAGCAGGAATGTCTTGGACGGCTGCAAGATCAAATGCCGGAGACTGAACAAAATGGAAGATTATGGTCGCAGCCCTCTGCTTCACAATGAGTAAAAATAATTAAGTCAGTTAATTCAAATAAAACTTATTCTTTCAATGAAGAAACAGTAGAGTGTAAGATCAAGATAGACTCACTTTGATTCTGTAGGATTAAAGAGTTTAAACTAGATTACATTAATAATAATAAGAACAAAATTGTACTCGTATGTATCATTGTGTTTATCATTCTAAAGGCAATTTACTGACGCAAGATTAATTAAATAAATTTTTATACAAGTATAGCATTGGCTAATTATTAATAAATACATTTATTATAATTCATATTAGCATCCGTTAGCTCATGTATTGATTAGAAATGTAAACATCCTAGAAACAAAATCATTACAAAAGTTATTTTCCTTCAAATACCGCAGCTATATTTACACAGCAATCGTGTTTATGAGATAAAAACAAACAACCCGAGTCTATTTTTAGTGAACTCTCGTCAGTGCAATACCGTCTCCAGCGATTATCAATAAATTAAATCATTTATGTTTTTAAATCAATATTTGATACACACGAACAGACGAACACACACACACACACTCATATATATATATATATATATATATATATATATATATATATATATATATATATATATATATATATATATATATATATATATGTTACCATATGCTTCGATGTGTGTGCTGTGTGTGTTTCAGTCTGTGTTTTCTCTCTATGTGTCAGTATGTCTGTGTGTGTTTGTGTATGTCAGTATGTGTACCTGTGTGTGCGTGTTTACTCTTCTAAAAAACCACGATGGATTATTTAGGAAACAAAAGATGAACTCTCGCACTCGGAGATCTTCAGCCCTCAAGTCCCTCCCATGCTGGTTCTTTCCTATCGATTAACTCTTATTAAAAACGCTCAAGTGTAATATTCAACATCTCTTCAAATAGCAACCAACAGCCCAGAGTTAAGTGAAGTTTAAAGTAAATTTACTACCGGGGCGTGTTTCTCTAAAAACAGGATGGTGTTTTAGAGTAACAACATTGACGGCGTCAGAATGCATCCTTGCTTTTGGATACTTTGTACATTGGGATTCAATTTTATACGTAAATATTGTTTTATTTTTCTAAATAATATTGGTGTTACCCAACCCCTATTCAGTACACCATTAGTGTTTAAATTATAGGTGATAGGCCATGTATTAATTTGAATTTAGCAAACGTAAGGAGAACAATAAAAATGTATTCTCTTGAGAATTTAAATTTTATTACAATGAGTTAATGTTATGATATAAATTCATACTTAAATATCTTTTTAATTTTTATTTTCCTGTACATGAAGTATAGAGAAATTATTGTAATCTTGCAAAAAATCGAAATCGAGATTTTCACAAATCTCGACGTTTTACACCTCCCTGAGTCGGAAAAACATAGTTTTGCAAGTTAGATAACTTGGGTACCGTTTCAGCTAGAATGATGACATTTAGTATATAATTATTATATCAAATTTGTAGTTCTGTAACAACTTTTCAGCGATTTCCATTAACCGGAAGAGAAACTTATTCTACTTTTAGTTTTTCAAAAGCCTATAACTTGAGAAATGTTTCAGATAGATAAATAAAATTTCACATGTAAGTTAAAGATCTAATTCTCCTCTTTCGTTTAAATTATAAGTAATTTCCGTTGACCGAAAGTAGTAATTTACACTATTATCAATTTCACAAAAAAATGCTAATGAATTTATAAAGAACTAATAATATTTCGCACCATTATACAGATATTGTTTGCCATTCACTTGGTGCGCAATTATTTTTTTCGACGAGACTCTATTCTTTTTTTAAAATATGTAAGTAATTAAAAATTGATTAAAAAATTGTCTATATCCAGAGTTGCCATCCCCGTAGTGTTATTTAAAAAATATTCGAGAAAGTTTAGGGGAGATTCATTCCAGTTTATTTAAAATAATATTGGTATTTCGCTACCCCTTTTAGAACAACATAGTGTTTAAATGGGCTGGCGTATTAGTTTAAATCTAGAAAACATAACGACAACAATAAAACAAATATTTGTTTAAAATAGCACACTATTTCAATTTATTCATGATATGATTTAACACAACAAATACAGATTACAGCTGAACAAATTTTATAAAAAAAAGTAGACTAGCACTATATATTTCTACAAAATAACTCTACGACACTACCACAGTCACTCGCACACATTTCAGTACCTTTCATGTCTTTGAGAACCCTCAACTTCTTCTTTTGTTTGTTCTGCTTGTTAATATATCAATCTACATCAAACACGAGAGACGCTGAAATATGTGCCTGCCTAATTATCATTTACTTCTTCATTCGTCTTTTTTTTTTCAACCTCAGCATCCTATTTCGAAATACATATCAATTGATTTCATACGAATAAAAATAATTCTCAAAATTTACATTTTAAGCTTTACCATTTTAATAAATATTATTAAATGAAAAAACAAGTTAATAAAAAGTCTAGTGACAATTTAAGCGCAATTTCCTTACTTAATTTTTTTTTAAAAATGTGAAAAAATGATTAGGCCTAGCGAAATAAAAACTTGTAATTGTAACTCCCTATCACTCTCATATAAATTATAAATAAATTAATAGGGTAGAAAAATAACGTTTTAATTAATAAGTTAAAAAAGACAACTATATTAACCTATATCAACGGAAATAGTTTTATTTTAATGAGTAGGCCTACAAGATGCTCAGTTTAAATCATCCTAGGCCTACACGATGCTCAGTTTAAATGTTCTTAATTAATTTTTTGTGACCGAACGAAATGATATTTTTGAAAACTTTCTTCGGCAATATTGGTCTAAATTATGGCAGAAATCGATTGGTAAATGTTTCAAGTCGCTAAGTGGTCTGGTTGCCGAGATATGGAGCAAAAACTGCATTTGTTCGAGGTTTCTTGGCTTTTCCGGGAAATCCAGGAAGGAATTCCGGGAATTTTTTTTGGCCTATGTTCATCCTCGGAACTTGCTTAACATATTTGCTTTTGGAACTAGTCCTCGATATTGCTTCGTTGAGGAGAAGATACGACTTAAAGGCTGCGGACGCACATCCATCCAGAAATGACGAGTATCCCAGTATGAAAATTGCACTAAAAATTAAACCCACTTTCACAGTTATTTAAACATAAATATTCGAGCAGACTTTTGAGTAACTCGTGATTTGTGAACTCAACATTACAAATGCTGCAAATGAAATATTTTGCTTTAAAACTCAATCAGTTGCTCGTTAAGGACCATTATCTTAACCCTTAACCCCCCCTCCCCTCCCGTCCTCGTGAAAGCAGCAGTCCGTGACGACAGTTTACAGACGTCAATGAATAGATCAAGCAGAACTTGTTACCTCCTCTTAGTTTCAAATACGATCTGTTGCGCATGCCTGGAGAGCGATAGGAGAGGCGGGAGGAGGTTTAGAAAGTCGGCTTGTGTATGTGGTGGTGTTGTCCCGCATTGTCCCACTTAGATAATAAAAAAATTATATATATATATATATATATATATATATATATATATATATATATATATATATATATATATATATATATATATATATATATATATATACATATATATTTATATATATATATATATATATATGAATTGAAAAAAAACATTCCAAAACATTGATTTTTTTTCCAGAATGTGTTTACAGTGGAGGACGTGAATTTATTGTGGCTTTCCCGTTCGCTGAAGCTGACAATGTTAGTCTGTCTATAGTGTGTGTAGCTGACAACCCCATCACAGTAACAGGTCAAACCTTTCGCTGATACTGCTAGTCTGTGTATAGCTTGTGTACGCTGATGCTGCTAGTCTGGCTATAGCTTGTGTACGCTGATGCTGATACTGCTAGTCTGTCTATAGCTTGTGTACGCTGATACTGATAGTCTGTCTATAGTTTGTTTACGCTGATACTGCTAGTCTGTCTATAGCTTGTGTACGCTGATGCTGATACTGCTAGTCTGTCTATAGTGTGCGTAGCTGACAAACTTATCAAAGTAGCAACTAAAACATTTAGAACATCCATTGTTACAATCTTAAGGATAGTAACAGAAACGTTCCCTTTATTTAAGATGAACTTCCTCAGGGCAAGTGAAGTAAAGTTTACCTGTTTATGCGACCCAGCATATAAAGGGATAGTGTGGTCGGCACTTTACTTTGCTAAGCCGGCTTTACTTCCCCTAACGTGAGTTGGGTACCCATCAGAGCTGGGTTGACTGATGGAAGTTGTATTGACTTGAATCCGGATTTTAACTCCAAACTTTCGGGTTAGGAGTCTAGGCCAGGCCGTACCAATTTAGGATGTAAAAAAGCCATATTATATTATATTAAATATATTTCAAACTGCACACAAAATTGGATATGGGAGGGGGGGGATTATCAAGACAAATAATTAAATATAACCGGCAACAACTTTTTGTTTAGTTTTTAAGGTGACATCTACCGTTCCACGACATTTTATAGGCTTTGCCTGGCGACAGTATAAAAAATGCTTAGGAAGTTGGTACTCTAAGTCAA